TTGTTTGTATTTAGTATTTTATTATATATATATATATATATATATCCTGCTTTTCTTTGATCTTTCTGCCTTAAGAAAAAAACCCATGCATCTTGTTCTGACTTAGTTCTCCCCTTGTTTGTTTGGAAAAAGCAAGGATTTTAATCAGGATTTCTCTGTGCAATAGTTGTCATTCTTAAAATAGATTTCAACTGACTCAATTTCTTTACCATTGTCTTTTGACTAATCGTATCAATTAGTGATTGTCAGCCAATGTATTAAGACAACAGAAGTCATAGGTGAGAAAAGTAATTTTTAACTTCCTGCCTGCATGAGCATGCTAACGTGAGTATTTTTTAACTTTCTGCTTGTATGGGAGAGCTAAAATGAGAACAGAGATTAAATTTGCTTTTTCTGGCATCTAATAGGTGACTCAAATGCATCACTGAAAAACAAATACAGAATCAAGGTGACTATACATGTTGCAAGATGACAAAGACTGAGGTGAGGAAATGAACCTGTAGGATGTTGGAATTCAGAAGGAAGACTGTAGTTTCCGTAGAAATACAAAAGACCAGGCAATGTAACAGAAAACTTGTAAAAATTAAAGCCCATCTGGATAGTCGGTAACCCAGATTTCCTCATACTCTGAAATGATGCAAAACACAAGAGGTACAAGCTTCTAGTACCAACTGCTCTGAAATTATTATTATAAACATATGCAGTAAGTAAAAAACCAGTGGAAGATAGTTTAAACAAACAAGAAAGTAAGAACTGGTCCGGCCATGTAGGTCAAATAAAGATTAAAAAAAGAAAAAACCTCTATCTCCTGGACTGCGTTAGGGTGTCACTTCATCTTTGGTATAAAATAGGCCATCCATAGGCTGCATTTGATCACAACTAGGAAAGACTACAGAAATTGTCAACAATTTCTTCTATCTATTGCTTTTTTGCACTTTTTTTTGACCATAAGCTCCTATCTACTTAAGTTTTTTTAAATGCTCTTAAGCTAGGTTTTTGCAATGTGACAAGCAAAGCAGACTAAAAACTTCTTAAAGCTCATAAAAAAGACTGCAGATAAAAAGCACTAATGCTTTTGCTAGCGATCACGCTTTGTAAATTAAAAAAAATCTGCATTCTGCAAGAAAAAAACCCTGCATTCTTTATAATGCAGTTATTTTTTTCTCAATTCAATAACTTTACTGTAAAATGCTTTAGCCTTCTAGAATTTTTTTCTGTCAACACTTAAGACAAAGTTCATAAAAGTTCCAGCATTTTTCCAATCCTTACAGTTGCCACAGTTCCTTTATCAACAAGTTTTCTCCAAAAGAAGAAAAGCATTTTCTTTTAAACTGTACAGTTTTTTGTTGTTCACCCCAAAATCTCAGTCTGTTAAACTTCTGCACCAGCTGAAACCAGTGTGAGCAAGTTTCAATTCTTTTTCGGTTTTTCTAATAAGACATTGACAGCTTGCCTTGAGAGCCTCTGACGTCCTTAAAATTAAGGCAATTAAGATTCAAGATAAACCTTACCTAAACATTTCTAAAAAAAAACCCCAAAAACAAAAACACACTAGATTTAAAACAAGAAGGAAAAAATTTAGAGAAAAAAAAGTAGCTTAATTTTTGAGGAAGACAATTAGTTTTCTTGTCAACTTGCTCCCTCTTGACATCCTCAGTTTTGATCTTTAAAAAAAAAAATCTAGTTACACCTACAGGTAAATTCTGAATTCAAATGTTCGTCCTGATGAAATGTCAACCCAGTGTTTTTCCTCTGGGTCTTTTCTTTAATTAAAAAAAATATAGCAAAAATAAAACTGTCAGACTACATGACGGAACCATTTGCACAGCACATAAAAACACTGTTGTGTTTTCGTTGGGAAAGTAGAAAATTAAAAAAAAAAAGCATTCATTTGACGCCTGTGCAAACTGGAAGCCAACTTCTTGTTCAATGAAGTTTCTCCATTCAAGGCAAAGATTTCAGACCGACATTCTTCAGTCCTGTTTATTGTCTGTGAAAACAATTGTATTAAAGTGGTCATTAAGTCAAAACAACTTTGAAATAGGCTCCTGTTCTTTTTTCCACCCAATTCCCTTTAAAAGGTATCCAAGCAAAACTAACTTTGCAGCTGTTTAAATATGATACAGCCACTAAGCTGAAAATAGTGAGGCCAAAGCAGAGAAATCCTACTTTAGGGGCATTCCTACTCAGTGCAGAAGGATTTTTACTCTTATTAATGCTATGGTTTATGCATAGTCCAGCACATCGAAATGAGACTATATGTATTTACATAACTTTAAAGCTTTAATGTTATGTAAATACTTCACAGGTAATAATGTACGAGAGAGAACTCTTTTTGTATTATTAAGTGGCACTATTTATTTTGGACACTAGTATTAAAATGAAGGCTAAACTTAAAATAAAAGGATAAATTAAACTTGCAAATAAGAAAACATTTTCTGATTGTAAGAATAACTGGACAGTGGAACAGTTTGCCTAATGAGCCAGTTATGGCCAATTCAGTAGAAACATTCATGCTGATAATAAATAAAAGTATATAGAAACTGTAGAAAGTACATGTACAGTCTTTCCAATTTAACACAGAGAACATGGTCTAGATGACCAATATTACTGCATCACTAAAGCAAATCAACTCAGGAATGTTTTTGAAGGGAGGTATACCTAAAATGGAAGCAGCATCACAAAAACGTAATCTTGCCACCATAGTATAATATTTCTGTGGAGGTGGAGCCACTGTTGACAAATGTTGTCTATTACTGTGTCATCTATAATGCTATAGTTAAAGGATGGTTATTGCTGCTCTTGTAAGCCTCCATGTTTAGGGGTTTACAGCTCTTCTGTAAAACTCCTCTCCAGGTGGAAACTCGACATAAGAAAAGCCAATAGTTTTCCTTTTGCCCAATTTTAAAATATTCAGTTAGGATTGCTTTTTTTTTAGTTGCTTTAACTCAGTATATATTTTTTAAAAGAAAAGAACTATAATGAATCAAAGTGCTTTCCCATATAGCTCCCTTTCTGGGACTATGTCATTATATGAAAAAATTACAGTCAGTATTTTCCAAAGAACAGACATTTTCAGATAGTGATAGTGGAATGTAAGATTTGTCTGTTTCCTTACGGATTTTCCGAAGCATTGACCTATTCAGATATTTGTTAGCATTCTGTACCTGTATACTTAGGGGGCAAATGGAGGCAACAACTCTTAGTAGGGTCCTTGCTCCTTGTCAGGAGGATGGAAACTGTGAGTGGATCTGAGAAATCTCCTACTATGCTTCAGAGAAGGCTCCACAAACATCACCCTTAACCAAAAGACTTAGTGGTTCCTGAGAGGTAGCCACCCAAATCACTGATTTGTACGTCCTATCTCCTACCCCACCAGAGGAGTTCCTTACCTGTGCCAATGAGCTCCACATTTTACAAGCTGACCAACATTTATGCACTTAGGCCCAAAGTTTTTGCCACTGAGTCTTCAGTATTCTCAGCTAACTCATAATTTGTGTTCGGAGTTAGCCCTGGTGTGAGGGGGAACCCATTGCACAGGAGTGTTATTTGTCTTTGTATGCCTGTTTGCATTGTGGTTGTTTGGCCATCCTTTTTCTTCTAGAATTTCTTGTGTTCAGTTTTAATTCCCCTTTTCAGCTGTTCAGGTTTTTCTTCCCCTATATACAGCCATTCAGGTTGCACTGCACACCATCTGTGATTTTACTGCCTATCTGAGGGTGTTATCTGGACTATCGGCATTGCTGTCATTAGTGTAAGCGAGTTATTGTGCGTTTCCCTGGAAAGTTTCTTGTGGGACCTAAAATCTGTACTCAAAAAAGACTGTTTCTCCCAGGTAGAAGCATCATGCATTCTTTAATCTTGTACTGGATTTATCTTCCCAGAAAACCCCAAAATCTTTCTCTCCTACTTAAAGCCTGAGAGCTCGTGTCCAGCAAACAGACCTTTGCCCAGAGGCAAGAGGTTGGAGTTCCTGAGACAAAAGAGTTCGCTCTAAACTTCACTTTCAAGATTTCACATTTGTATATGTTAATGTATACGAAGATTTGCAAGGGACAGAGATTCCTTTGGTCTAAAATGACTGAGGTACCTTCCTAATGAAGTGGAGTATTCTGCTCAGAGCCGAAGGATAGAGAGCCAAATTCACCCATGGTATAATTTGCTCACATTACTGGATTTATGCTGGGGGATATTTGACTAGTGTATCAGCCTTAAATCTGAATGCACTAAGATGAAATCACTATTAAAAACCAGTCTAACAGGGTAAATGAAAGAATATCTTTCCTGGCCAAGAAATAATTTTTTTTTCACCAGTTGTCTAGTTTACACTTACCTACAAGGCCAATACAAAATCTTTATCACACCCTGTTCAATTTCAAGACATTCTTATCCATTTGTTGGTTGTTATTTTCCGGTTAGTTCACAGAAAGATAAATATAATTAAAGAAGTGATTATAATATCCCTCTCATTAGCTTCTAGAAAATTCTTCTATAAATTCTGCATGTTCCCTTAGCTATAAATGATTAGAATCAGCATCTAATCAGGTTAATTACTTCCTCTCTGCCAGAATGGAAATTATGGTCTTATACTGGGCATCGTTTTTATTATTGTTAAATGTGCTTTTAAATTGAAAAAAATATATTTATTCAATACGATTTTTTATAAGCGGTGCTTTTGAAAAAAATTTTAACTTTTTTTTAACTAGAAATTGCATATGCTCTTTCTGTATTCATCACCTCCCAAGTCTTGGCATTTGTAACCACAATTTGCGGACACAGAAACAGCTGGCATGTTTCAGCAAAAAAACAGAAAAACAAAACAAAAAGGAACATCCAGATAGCCTATAGTGTACCTACCTACGTGATTGAAAAAGAAATTCCCCTAAATATAAATACCAATGACATGGGAACAGCATCTGCTATAGCAGTCATACAATAGCTGAGTATGTGAGATGAGGGATATTCTCAGAGAAGATCGGAATTTTACAGTGGAAAAATCCAGCAGTCATTTCAAAAATGAGCTACCATCTTTGCAATATAGGCACAAGTCCATCAGAAACTACCCCCAGCTACATGTTGGGGGCTTCTGAACGTAAGTCTTTTTTTGCTTTTAGGCTTAAGGGAAAGGGAATTGGAAAATGAGAATGGTTATTTCAAAATCCCTTCAGAACACAATGATCAGACCAGGCAACCGGCATGGAGTCGTCATGTATATTTTTCTCTTGACCCATTATATTCTTTAAAAAACCTGTCATTATATTCTTTAAGTAGGCTGCCATTATTTATTTTTATAGGTATTAAAGAAAATGATGGAAGAACAGGTACACAAACATACTGTGCCTCTGAGTACATCAGACATATAGAGAAGAGGTGTGTCATGGGCTCCATCTGTAAAATACATACTGGGCCAAATTCTGCAGCAATAAACAATACTGATGATGTAAGCTACCCATTGGGTACATGTACGTTGGCCAAATGGTTGGTGTACCTTGCACCAGTTTGGCATTCAGTTGGTGTGAAAAACAAGTGCAACTTAATGCTGAGGGGTCAAAAAGGCAGGTGAAGCAACCAACCAGAAGGATAGATTTCTATTCTGTTTCGTATGTTTTACTGTGCCTATCACCATGGTATCTGAGTACCTTCCCATGATGCATTAAACAGGGTCTAGCATACGTCACATGAGGATCCCTCTTCATTTCATTGTCCTGGTCGAAAGCTGTGTGCGAATGTTTTTTTGTGTGATGTGCTATGTACCTTCGTTGGAAGGCCAAGGCAAAAGAGAGTACTTTGCACTTGGGACAGGGGTTTGGTGTGGTTCATAATAATTTATGCTCTGTCTTCTGCACAAATAACCTCTCCCTTCTGAGTAACAATTCCACTGTGGCACCGGAGCAGAAGAGGTGAGGGCTGTTTTGTTTCCAGAACATGGGGAGAACTTGGCTCAACCATTAAGTGCGTTGAAAATAAGGTTGAACTTTGAACTTATGGTATTATTCTATGGGAGCAAATGCAGTGAGCAGAGGTCAGGGGTAAGATAAAACAGCCCCCCTACCTTTTCTTGAGGTTGCCTTTTCTGCAGCAGCCCCTTCTTCTCTCTCAACGTGCAAGTGATACTAGTTTTGCACACCTGCTGAATGCCATTTACACTACTTTGTCAGTTACATTCACATCCTGAAAAACTAACCACCAGATGTGGAACTTACTGCTCCATTGACATCACTGCAGAATTTGACTAAACGTTGTAGCCTCTTAATACCTGTTTGGGATTTTGCCCAGTGTGCTGATTGCTGAGCCAATGTCTGGTGTAAAACCAGAGCAACTCCACTGAACTCAATAGAGCTACTCTGAATTTATACTATCACAATTGAGAGCAGAACATAGATCTCTGAATTCCAAACACAATATCATATATGGCCCTAACAGTGACTAATCACAGTCTTACTTACTTAGACTGTTGGTAAGAATATGCAGGTGCATGTTCACTGGATGTTTCCACTGTCATCTGTTGCTGTTGACCACTGGCTTCCTGTGATGAAGATGCTACTGTCTGCGGAGAAGTATCAGCAACGACACCCTATGGAAGCAAATAGGGACACAAAGGTCTTACTGATATTAATCACATGAAGGTGTTCAGCACCATCTCACTACTTCTTTATTTCTGTGTATCGGTACCATTGGTTTGCATTGTTGAGAGTTTCTGGGATAGCAGAAACCACATGCTGACAGGACACAAATGCTATCAATTTACAAGGTGATCTGGCCTCAATTCACAGAGTACCTGGAGCACTGTGCGCTAACATGCAGTGGTGAAAAATATCTACACATTATGGGGGAAATCCCGGTCCTGCTGAAGTCACGTTTCCATTGACTTCAGTGGAACCAAGATTTCACCCTGTATGTGTTATTTTTATTACATATGCATGGTTGATCTGTTTGTTTTTTTTACCTCACTTACACTGACATTACCTTGGTCTAACATTGACTTCTGATTTACACTGGTGTGAGAGCAGAACCAAGTCCCACCGGATTTTGCAATATATTGTGCTGTAACACACATGGTGCAGACACTGTAGCATGCTTTGAACACTAGTGTATTTGTATTGATGTAGTGTTTTTATTCAGAGTGTTTTCTCTTTTAAAATAAATTTAAGACAAACAAAAGATTTTACCTAATAGGACGTTGCACCAATGAGGCTTTGAGGCATATATGTATGTATGCATTCGACATTATATGCATTTGCCTTGAAAACCTGCAATTACAATTATTTCATTGATAATTTTGTTTCTCCTATTTTGGCATTTTTTAATTTTTTACATTTCTATTGAAATTAGCCATATTCTGTTTACTTCTGTGCTTGTCTGCATCAACCACACCAATGATACCAGCAGTGCACTTTGGGAATAAAATGTAGTAGTAAATTGCACTCTGTAGAGCCCGAAAAGGGAGCACAAAGCACTCAATTTTGCTGTTATCTGAGTCCCATATAAACATTGGGTGGTGCATTTTAAATCTCTGTGACAAATTCTTTTTCAAAGGTACTTAGAGTCCACTGCCTGCCATGCTGACCAATACTGGCTCATTGTTTCCTTGTAATCACCTGTCTATCTGCATCCATCTGTTGTCTCTTGCCTTAGATTTAAACTGTAAACTCTTTGGGGCAGGGAACATCTTTTTGTTCTGTTTGTACAGCGCCTAGCACAATGCGGCGCTCACCCATGACTAGGTGCTATGGTAATATACTAAAACAATAATTGCCAGATTATAGCAAATGTTACAGTAGGTCTTCTACTTAGTTCCTTTAATAATTAATGAAGGATATTCAAAGTAGTCATTATGATATATTTAAAATCTGATTTAGGGTAAAACTGATGCGATGAAGATTTAAATAAGACCAGCTGAATACGACCAAAAAAAACCAAAAAAAACCAAAACCCAACAACGCCAGTAGGGGCCTTTCCTACCAGGTGGTAGATCATTTGGGATTCAGAGAATTTGCAGCCATGGAGACTGGGAAAACTATGGTGGATCCACTTGACTGCGGGCGGAGAAGTTCCAAAACAACAGCTCGAAGAGCATCCTCAACTGGCCAACCCATGGAGCAGTAATAGCCTCAACTCCAGAGGAGAGACAGCTGAAGACTAAAGTATTGAGACAATAGTGCCCCTCATATTATCACAAAGTAGAGGAGAAGAGGTTAAAAATGGAGAGAAGAATACAAATTTAAGAGTAACAGCATCTTTATTTCCCAAGCCTCCCTCTCGTTGTGTCAGATGCCCTTATGAAGATGCACAGCAGTGGAGGTTGGGCTGAAGTGCTCCAGGCAGCTTGTGCTCTACAGGGTTGAGTAAATACTTACTCATTAGAATGTCATCAGCATGACTCAGCCCCAAGGAGGGAGAGAGCGAATCCTTCCTCAAGGATGAAAAAGCACTCAGTCAGTGCAGCATCCTCCACGTCTGTATGTACAAGAGGAAGGTTTCCATTGCTCAATCACTTTTTCTGGTTGCTGCATGTTTTCAGCAGTCACCTACACTCACTAAGGACTGAATCAAACCCTCTTGCCATCGTCTCTTCTGGAATCTCTTTGGGTTTGTGGTTTGCTGGTTGGTTTTGTTTTCCTGCATTTTCCCATCTCCCTCCCAAATACATGAAACATCAAGAATGGTTTATTCCATTTCCTACGCACAGCAAAACAAATGCAAAAACAAGAGCACTTGCAGATCTTCAAAAAAAAAAAAAAAGAAGAAGAAAAGAAAGGAAAATTGAAGTGCAATCCCAAATCTAAGAGCAGCATAAGGTCTGGTTTGGTAAAGCAACATTTGACCCTTCTTGATATACAACAGGTTCAATGACGAATAGGTTTGTGATTTGTCAACCCTTCACCCAACTTGCATGAATGGAGGTAAACTTACTTCAATGGGGACAGCTGTTGCAGGCACAGGAGTGTACTGGGGAATGTAGGTCCCTTGCATAGGTGCAGCAGCAGTCATATACTAGAATAAGTCAAAGGCACATTTATATTAGAAATAGAAAACCACAATGCATTAAATAGATTTGGTTATATAGATTTGGTTACAGTACAGAATGTATTGATTTTGTATGCATTGTACACCACACCATTATTTTTTGCTAATAATTTTACTTAATGGTAGGAATTAGCCATTAAAATCATACATCCTGACCTGCTTAGTGATGGCACATATGATTGAAAGCAACACCAAGAGATCATAGTATATAGTGCTGATGGGTTTAGATTTTATTATTTTGTCATATGCTTTATAACTGGAGAGAGTTCTATATCTACATATGAAGAAAATACCAGGGAGACACAATAACATCACGCACGCAGTGATTATGTAGAAAAGTCTAAGGAAGCTCTTGGAATCCACATTTTTAAATGATACTTACAAAAATAACAAACTTAGGGCTGAAATTAGCGTACTTCTTCCACATTACTCTAACCCTGAACATGGGAACAATCACGTCTATGGAGATATGAAGATCAGGAAAGAACAGATATCTGAGAGTTTCTGCTTTTTGTACTTAGGGGCCCTAACTGAATTTCCTTCTACATATGAATTCTTTTTAATATCTGGGAAGCCTTTTTAAATATCACGAAACTTTGCCAAATGATTATTCCGTCAACATATAATACTAGCTTCTTCTAAGATATTCTCTCTCCCAAGCACTACAGGAAACCAGTCCTTAATTATAAGTGGATGCTAATTTCACCATTCTTACAGCATTATTCTCTTCATGCACAATATTGCTTAAGCACTTCTTGGCTGAATGCAACAGATTGTTCAAATGCTTAAATGTCGTATGAGTATTGAGTTGTCAGATCTAGACATTGTTCTTACCAGTCCTATCTGTGTACTTTGACAAAAATCACAGAGTATGCCCAATCTCACAGTTGTCTGGAGGGCACCTCCAACATGTTATCTTCAAGGATGCACTGGAGATCTGAACCTACCCAGGATGTATTTGATGAATTTTAAAATGAGTTAAATATCGCTTGAGTTTTCTGGCTGAGTTAGGAGGTGCTTGCAGGATTTTTTCCACTGATTATTGTGAAATACACGTTTCAAACGCTTTCTCAGCACACCTTTAAATTAACTGTGCTGTTTGAAATGTCCACAGCAAAACTGCATTATGAGAATGCACAGAGGCATGTAACAGATGTACTGCCCAAGAAATGTTTGGGGTGCAGAAATGGCATAGACAAGAATATTGAGGGCAAAATTCCACAGTCCTTGCTTAGGTAAAAGTCCCACTGACTTCAGTGGAAGTTTTGCCTATATAAAAACAGTGAGTAAGGAGTGCAGGATTTAGGCTCACATTAGTGGCACCACATTATGTATTTGTAAGTAATTATAATGATGTTGTTGAAATTTACTGCATCTTCCTTGAATATGGCCAAAGAGACAGGAGTGTCACCAATCCATATTATGTCTGCCTCCTGCCACAACTTCCTGATGATATTTTTTTGTTTCTCTTCAAAAAGATAATTGTTACAGATTGAGGAGTTCAGTGTTTTCTTGGTCAATGTCAATCAACCAATGACATTTAAGCCAAATACCCCGGCTGTACTGCAGCATATAGTAGGGCTATTCTCTGGCCAGGAACATTAGTCATGGATGAGAATATTATAAGAGTGAGAGTCTGTTCAGCTTCTATTTCATTCAGTCTGCTTTGTAATGCTGCTGTCATCTGCTGCCATCCTATATGCTAGACAGTATTCTTCCAAATTAATTGTGAGCTTTTACTTGAAGTGCTCACTCTCATAGTTCCACAAAGCCTGTTTTAAATTCTCATTGAAGTTTGTTTCTCTGAAGCAAATTATTTTTAAATTAAAAACATCTATATAAAGAAGAGAAAAAAAGCCGTTCTAGGCAATGTTGTTTTCTTTTAAGTTCTTCCTGGAACCCAGTGGAAAATCAGCATATGTGCTCTGAATCACTAGATGTAATTATCTCTATCGTCATCTTAGTTTGCACACAAATACACATATAACTAAATAAAGTCTTATGAGACCTCACAAAATTATTAAACCACTTTTAAAATCAGGCCACTTTATTTGTTTCAATATCCTTCAGCGGTGAGTTCCACAGGACATATAGGAGGCATGCATGAAATATTTACTTTTACTAGTTCTAAATGTACTGCCCTTGGGAATACAAGAGAATCAGGAGACTATTCCCAGTTCTGCCACTGACTCATTGAGTGATCTTAGGTAAGCTCCTTTGTCTCTCCATGTATCATTTTCTCCTTCTGTAAAACCCACTTTTCTTTTTTAAGTGCTTTGAATTCAATGGATAAAAGCAAAATTCACTGATGGTTTAACTCCTCTGACAGAAATGGAACTATACTGGCAGAAAATTTGGCCCTGTAAGTGTTAAGTGCCAATCCTGCAAACAGATGCACCAATATGTATCTTAGGGCATGTCTACACGGTGGAGGTAATGTGCTCTCCGGTGGTGCAGTTTCTAAAGTGCATTAATGTGTTGCTCTTTAATTGGCCCATGAAGATCCTGCTGGTTCATGCTAATGGTTCCCTAATGTGCTTTAACATAGTACTGTTTTCTAAAGCACAGTAGGGGCCATTTAATGCGCACCAGCAAGGTCTACATGGACCAAATAATTGCAATACCTTAGTATACTTTAGAAATCACAGCCCCATAGTGCACATTGCTGCTCCGTGTACTCTGACTCTTAGATTGCTGCTCATCTATTAGCCCCTCACCACACACATTCACCAGAACCATCAGCTATCTCTTAGTTACTTACATGGCACCCATTACCAGAGTATCTGAGCACCTCATAATCTTTAATGTGTATGTCCTCACAATACCCCTGTGAGGTGGGGAAGTGTCATTAACCCCATTTTACAGATGGGGAACAGACATACACTAAGTTTGTGCCAGAGAACAGAAATAAAGTCTCCCGAGACCCCGGTTAGTACCAGAAACACAGGACCATACTTTCTCTCATCAAGGATCCCATGTGGACCTCTTAATACCACATGCAGTCCAACTGCTTTCCACAGCACTCTGTGCAGGTGTTAGGATCCATACTAGTTTTCCAGACTGGAGATGAAAGTAAGGACTGAGTGACTGTTTTTCTAATAGTATACAGGGAAAGGTCAAAAAGAGAAACTGATCAATTTTTTCTATGTCCACCATCCTTGGGGTTACCTCAATGAAGGCCACCCTGATTTCTCTCCTTTCTAAACTAGATAATCCCAACCACTTTAATTTCTTGTTTTCTGTGCTTTACAGTTGGTTAATATCTGAAAGTGACTGTAAAATGGCACTGAGGAGGTTTCATGTTGACTTTGTCTCAGTAATTTCCATACTAGGGGATGGACTGATCTCTTCCTGTATTGGGATGGGGCCTAAGCTCTCTCTGACACATCATCCGCTTCTTCCCCTAAACCTTACAGAGTGTAGTGGGGTAACAGGTGGGCTCAGACTAGTGCTAGCTACCTTGGAGTGTGGGGAGAGGTGGAGTACAAAACTTCCTTCCCTCCAGCCTCACAGAAATTCTGAAGGAAAATGGAAGTTGTATTATCTTCTCTGCTTCAATTCATGTATGGTAGGGATTCTGCATTAAGAGTGTTCCTGGAGGTAGCCATGGCTCAGGGGCACCATGGTGGTCCAGTTCCAATGGGTTTCTAGAGGCCAGAGCTATACCAGAGTCACAGGGCCTCAATGTAGCTGGTTTCCCATGGATCCCAGGAAATTATGCACAGTATTGCTTAATCAGTTCTTGGCTGAATGCAACAGATTGTTCAAATGCTTAAATGTCATATGAGTATTGAGTTGTCAGATCTAGACATTGTTCTTACCAGTCCTATCTGTGTACTTTGACAAAAATCACAGAGTATGCCCAATCTCACAGTTGTCTGGAGGGCACCTCCAACATGTTATCTGCAAAGATGCACTGGATTCCTATTCCCAAATTATGCTTTGATGTGGGGGAAATCTCTGCTAGGAGATCCACACAGAGATTTCCTTTACTTAAAGCCACTCTCACATATTTTACTGCAGGGAGTGGGATGTGAGTGTGTGAGATACACACAAACATTTGCTCAGCTTACAAGTAAACAGACGACTTAACTAAAAGGAAAATGAAGTTTCATTGCTGCCAAATAGGATGTGGAAATCAAACGATGCTCCTTTTTTCTCACGTGCCATCATCAGGAATGGAGATTCTGCAATTGGAATGTAGTTAGTCTATTCTGACTTGTGCATATTCAGCAGAATGGCGATCACTCACTGTCCCAGCACTGTATTGGCTTTTTGACAGCAAAATGAATAGCAACTCTAAGGCACTGGGAACAGTAAAATAGTGACTGTTTGGCACAATCATTTTTCTGACTATAACTACACTTTAAAGACTGACAATTTCCATCAAGAAAAAGAAACAGCATTGGCAGTGCTGATGCTTCTGATTTCCCTTTAAACTGCTATTGTTTTCACATACTGTACCTAAAGCACCTTTGGTTTGCGCTCACAGTGTGCAATATTCTAGTGCAATGCACATCTCAGGATGTCTGACTGCTTAATTTCAAGTCTTGCTTATTATGGACACCAGTTTAGCTTTTATTGATTCATCTCATACTCTCTTCTAGGGTTTTTGTTTCTGTCTATCTTAGGACACAAAGTATAGAGGACAAAAAGTCACATAAGTCTAACAAAATGTAAAGAAATATATACCTTTTACACCACACAGTTTTACGACCTTTAAAACTGTTATCTATTGATTTGTTCAGAATGTTTGTAGATCTAGTTGTTTCTTATTTTAAGATAATATATTGCAAATAGAAGAAGCTTGTTGGACATGAAGAGTTAATGCTCTTGGCCACAATAAGTCTTAGACACATGTGCTACATCATGAAAGCTGAATAGGAATGGGTGGCATAACAATAGTGATCATATTTCCCTGGTTTAGACATCACAACATCAGAGGAATTTGGAAAATACCAATTAAT